GGACGAAAGCACGGCGACATACAAGATTCTTCAGAATGATAAAGTAGGGAGGTAATTAATTATTTAAATATTCTTCTTCTTCTTAAACATAGTGGAACGCACTTTAATATTCTATGCTTTATATTATATTACAATTTAAATGCACATCGTTTGAAATTTTTGAAATACTACATTTTCCAGATACATGGTAGCTAACAAAGAGTTGGAAGCGGGCGAAGAAATTGTCACAGAAATGCCTTTTGTAGTCGGGCCAAAGGCGTTCACGTACCCTTTGTGCCTTTCCTGTTATGCACCGTGGCCTCCATCAGTGGACGATAAACCTCTTTGCTCAAGGTGCGGTTGGCCTGTATGTTCGGAAGATTGTGAAAACCAGCCGCAACACAAGGACTACGAATGCCAGGTAAAAAAATCATAAGAGGATAAAAAGGAAAAGCAATTAGTAGACTTTAAACTATCTTCCACTTTCTGCAATTAACACTTGCTTTCGAATAATTTTCATGTGCTGCAATCGGAAGCGGAAGCTTCGTTTGCTAACGGCGTGCTGCTAATTACCACTTACATCGTAAAATATAAGAGACGAAGAAGAAAGAAACGAAAGCGTGAAGATATGACAAATATCTTATTCGTAGATATTCGTACAAGCCAACGAGAAATTCAACGTGCAAGCTGCTCTAGAAGAGACGAGCGAATACGGAGTACCGCAATTAGAGTGTATAACTCCATTAAGATTGCTCCTGCAGTCAGAGAGGAATCCTGAAAGGTGGAACAATGAGATAAAAAACATGGAAGCCCACAATAAAGTAAGAAGTCAGAAAAAACAATGGGAATTGGATCACATCAATGTAGTAGAATACATAGGGAAACGGCTTAAATTAGACAGGTGATTACTCGCCAACTCCGTGAGAGAAATATAAATAATCGTATCTTTATTCCCAATTTATATCTTATTTTATTGCTTAGATTCTCGGAAGAACAAGTTCACACAGCTTGTGGAATTCTGGAAGTGAATACGTTCGAGATTCGGACAGCAAAAGGATTTACCGCGAGAGCACTTTATCCAACAGTGGCCCTGATGAACCATTCGTGCGTCTCAAACACATGTCACAGTATATCACTGGCTGATTACAGGTAAAAATGGCAATTACTTGAATTCAATAATAGATCACGATGCCGTTTAACAGCCAGTAGAATTTCCATTTGATATTTAGTCTCAGACACATGTTACGGTATATCACTAGCTGATTACAGGTAAAAATGGCAATTAATTGAATTCAACAATAGATCACGATGCCGTTTAACAGCCAGTAGAATTTCTATTTGATATTTAGTCTCAGACACATGTCACGGTATATCACTGGCTGATTACAGGTAAAAATGGCAATTAATTGAATTCAATAATAGATCACGATGCCGTTTAACAGCCAGTAGAATTTCTATTTGATATTTAGTCTCAGACACATGTCACGGTATATCACTGGCTGATTACAGGTAAAAATGGCAATTAATTGAATTCAATAATAGATCACGATGCCGTTTAACAGCCAGTAGAATTTCCATTTGATATTTAGTCTCAGACACATGTTACGGTATATCACTAGCTGATTACAGGTAAAAATGGCAATTAATTGAATTCAACAATAGATCACGATGCCGTTTAATAGCCAGTAGAATTTCCATTTGATATTTAGTCTCAGACACATGTTACGGTATA